AAGCTACCTTTCTTGGCATATGCTTTGATCATTACATTGTAAACAAACAAACTCGGGTCTTCAATGTAATCGAAGATCTTCTAGGCGTAGGATAAGCTTCCAAGAGATGGATGTGTACAGAAGACCATGAGCTTGCCGAGGGTGTCTTTGTTTTGGTGTACACCAGTCCTGAAAACTTGGGTTTGGATTTGTTTGAGTTGTTTCATGGACTTGCAGTTTCGAAGGTTGTCTATACATGCTTTCTTGGTGAGTCTGAAGTATGAGTTAGTAGTAGTTGACAAGTGAAGTGGTTTTGATAGGAATTGGCAGGAAATAGACTTCAATGGCAGAAACTTATGTTGAGAGATCATGTGACCTTGCTCTTGTTGTGCCTTGCCTAGAATGAGCTGAAAGGCCACACCTTCTTCTACTTAACAGCTGCTTGATTGGGCCACCAGTCAGGACTCACCCTTTGGGCAGCCAGTATAGCGTTAGCAATACCGGCTTAGCAGTGTATACGTGGCTTGTTAGCCACGTGAGCACTGTGTGCTGAGTACAGTGCGTGCTGACATGATTAGTAACAATGTGTTGCTATCATTTTTTATAGTATGACTAATCACTATATAATATATATATATATATATATATATATATATATATATATTTCATATTTTGAGTAAAAAATTTAAAAACATATTTATTTTTTTGTTTGTTTGTATTTTTTTTAATGGCTATTTTTTTAATCACTTGAAAACTTTTTTATATTTGAATGGAATAGTATTTGAGTAAAATGTAATTTTTCATATTGTTTGTGATGAATAAAATATTAATTTTTTTTTTTTTTTTTCACATTTATTTGTTTCACTTTTTTTTTTTTTTTCCCCTTTTCTCATATATTTGTTGACACATTTTAAAGAAAATAAATTCAAAAGGCAAACAAATAAAAATCATACATATTTTTAAAAAAATAAAAATCAAATAATCGAATAATCAAAATTATAAATATTTTTTTGCATTTTTGTAGCCCATGAAATTTATTATTTATTTTTTTTCAAATATTATAATTTATTTTTGTTAATTGACATAGCCGTTGCAAGTTAAAAAGGGTGAAGTGCAAAAAACACCCCTCAAGTATGCTTATAGTGCATATCACACCCTTCTCGTGCAAAAAACACCCCTCAAGTTTCAATTTGGTGCAATCAAGTCCCTCTTGCAAATTTAAAATCAAATTTGACTAAAGTACCCTTAGTCAATAATTTTATAAAATATATAAAAATAAAAAAATTTGTAAAAAGACCAAAAAGGACAGTAAGCAGCCCCTGCCTCTCACGCGACAGCCGGCACCGGCAAGCAAGGAAAAGACTGGCTCCGCCGTCATTGCCCAACCATTAGTCCAGCCGAGCTTCATCACAACCGAAGCCACCGCCGAACCGAACCCATCTCACCGGCCGTCTATCTCCGCCAGTCCACCGATCTGAAGCTCACTGCCGCACTCCGTCCCAAGTCACCTTTTCAACCATCTAGTCCGCTTCTGTCATTGCCGAAGAGGTTGTGATTTTTGCCGACGTAGTGAATCTGGCCGTGAAGAAGAAGCTCGGTGACGGAGAAGAACCCACCGATGATTATGGATCCGGGGATGGGCGGGTGGCCAACGAGATCTCACGACAGTTATGAGCAAGGGGCGGTGGAATCGGCTGGACTGAACTCAGCCGTGATGAAGACGGCGGCTCGCGGCGTGATGGCAACGATGATTAATATTGATGGCGATGAATTAGGATATAAAATTTTTATATTGTGAAATAGGGTTTGAATTGGGTTCATGGGATGACGTATCGCAGAGAACCCATCATCAATTGCTAATATGAGATGGTTTCTCTATTATCTCTTTTACTAATGTGAGATGTTTCAACTGTAATTCATGGAAGCTTTTCAAAGCCTAAAATTCAAAGTAAAGAAGTTGATTAAAGGAGAAACAGGTTCCACCACAAGTCCATGAGATTGGCTTCAATAGACCAGATAACTGAACTTTCTCTTGGAAAAATTAGGATGGAAAAGAAGGCAAAAATATGAAAAAGAGAAAGAAACAGACAATGCAAACACAGTAGAGCATAATTCCTTCTCGCTGTCATAATTATGTGGTCTTAAGTGTTGATCTTCCTGCAGTTCTTTCTGATCTCTACCTTTGTACTAGTCAATGGAGTGATATTTCCCATCTTGATGACCAAAATCAAGAGTGTTATTATAGTAAGAGAGCATACAGTAAGTGAGAGATTAATTAAGAGTGTATTACACTATTAGGGTTTCTTATGGCAAAAGCGTGTGGAGTGATGAAAAATGCCTTGGGACTTGATTTGGGTGGAGACGGTAGTGCGAGGAATTGGGGCTGAGAGAGAAGGAGGAGTATTTTGGGAAGATTAAAATGGCAAAATGGGTATTACAGCAATAATTTAGGGGTGTTTATTGCACAAAGGGATAATTTTGCACAATTTTAAAAGATTAGGGGTGTTTATTGCACCCTTTTTTAATTATGAGGTAAAAATGTTACAAAAAGTATACTTCAAGGATATTTTCTGCACTTCCCCCAAATTAAAAAACAAGAAGAAGAAATATAGCTTTTCTAAAATTAAAAATACAGCCTTAGTAAAGAAATAAGTTATTGTTGACAATTAATTGCATGTGGGACCGTTTATGACCAGCAACAAGTATGTTACCTGCTGTGGGTGGTATTGCCCTGAGGGGGCTGCCTTTTGCTACTTACACCAGTACAATTTCTACCAATATTGACTTCTAGCGGGCAAAAATCCCTCCTATACCGGCTGCTCTTAGACTCGTGTTTTGGCTAGCTACAAGACTCTCCAACCTTTGTTTCTCGAAACCGGATACTCTATTGTGCCATTGCATTCGTGGTCTGTCTTGTGGTCGTGTGTTTTTATATTACTTTTGCAATAATAATTCATAGCTTATACAACAACTAATTTAGAGTGCATTTAGTAATGTTTTTGTTTTCTATTTTTGCAGTCTTAAGAAAACAAAAATATGATTTTATTTTCTTTAGTGAAAATAGAAAGCAAAAATGATATTTCTTAACACTTATTATTGTCACAAATTTAAAAACATAAAACAATAATTGTGTTTAGTAATACAACATATTTGTTACAAAATGTGCATAATATTTTTTAAATTATTTTCTTTTCTTTTTTCATTTCTATTTTATTTTTTTCATGGTAAGAATTTTAGAAGTTAGTGATTAGAGAGGAGAATAGATGACTTGAACACAAACTCTCGGACACAGGGAGCAACCCAACCACTAAGGCATGACACTTGCTTCCATTAATATCAAAAAGTCATAAATCTAAAAAATTTAATTTAAAATTATAAATCTTAAAAATATCCAATACATCATAAGTACAAAATTAGATATACCAAAACAAAAACATTCCCACCAATTATGTATATAAATACATATATATGCATGATGTATACATTTATTATGTGATATATAATATATTTGGCATATGATAATTTATTATGAATAAAAAATATTAAATAATATATCTTATATGTAATAAAATATATATTGTGTTATAATTTTGTAAATTAATTATAATTTAATATTTACATATAATATAATATAGATATGATATATAATAATATAAAATATCTATTGCTTAATAATTTAATAACATTATATTCTATATCAAAAATTATTTTGTCACAAAAAATCATTTACAATATTATTTACTATATTATATATTAAAATATATTTTTATCAAATAAAAAATAATATACAATATTTAATTTATTCTATATTAAATATATATATATATATATATATATATATATTAATATTTAATATGCAACTTAGTATATAACACAAATAATATGAATTTTATTTGAAATGAATAGTATCTATGCACTAACATTAGTGAAAACATTTCTCTGCTACAGTGCCTAAAACATAAGAAACATCATTTTGATGTTTTCTCTTTTCCTCACAAAAATTGAAAAGATTTTCTGTTATAGAAAAACAAAAATATTTTATTGAACGTGATTTTTGTTTTCGTTTTGCTTTTTTAGAGGTTGACAACAAAATACAAGAAACGTTTCTTGTTGCTAAACGTAGCCTTATATTAAAGAGCATTATTTTTTAAGATATGAATACAGTATGTTGCAGTAGCAAAAATAGGAGTCCATAAATCCCCTATCCATATGGCTACCGCAGCTGCTAACTTCTTGTTACTAAACGTAGCCTTATATTAAGGAGTATTATTTATTTTTTAAGATATCAATACAGTATGTTGCAGTAGCAAATACAGGAGTCCATAAATCCCCTATCCATAGGGCTAACGTAGCTGCTAACTCAGAAGCTATTATGTTTTAACCTTAATCAGGATATTTTATGCACCTTATATATACTATTTTGATTGGTACAGCAAAAATCGCCGTTTAGACATCAGTTATAATCATTTTTTTTTTTTGTTCCTCATATTTTAGTTTATTATTCTACTTCACCACAAGGTGGATTGTAGAACTAATATTGTGTTTTTTGATTCCACAAGGTGATGTTTGTTATGGAGCAAATTTCTTGACACAGAAATCTCACAATGATCTTGTAGATCTAAATCCTCCACATTACTAAATCACAGGCATTGGAAGGAGCAAATTACTGGTTAACATGAGCGGGGTATAGGAATGAAGGGTTTGTTGAAGTTCTTGATGCTCAGCAATGCCCAGGAAACCAAAACTGGTTCCTGGTTAAATAAATACATCAAATTGTTTTATGTTTTCGCTTAAAATTTTATGTTAAGAGTAGGATGGTCATTCTTTAAGTCGAGATGAGTTAGAATAGAATTGACATTCTTTAGATCCCAAAAAATCAAATGGTCAAGCTTTTTGTGTGAATAACATTCTAATGAAATCAGCATTCCAACTTTTAATTTGCTTACCAGACAAAAGAATCCATTCCATTTCCGCATACCAAAACTCCACACTGCCATTCAAGTCATTAGGCATTCCAAAACTAAACTAACACCTGAACATGAATCCTTCCTAAAATGATTTTTACAAAGGTTTAATACCTGATCATAAACCACTTCACTATAACTGTTTTGACTCAAGCCGCACTCACAACAATTACACCAAAAAGTCGTTAATCATTCCTAAAATGATTGATTTACAACAAGAAGGAAAAACTAGAATGCAATGGCGAATATACCGATCCTGTTCAAGAATGAGCTCCTTAACCTCACAGTTCTGCTATCCACCAATCTGTTCCCAACTTGGTCTATGATTGAAAAGCCATCAAAATTGAGATAGCAACTCCTCCACCAATATGACGCCTTGATGTAAACAGTCGAACTAACGTGGAGTGTGAACTTCATCATGCCACTGCACTAACTAGAGCTAGCCCACAAGGAGCTAAGTTTGGCTGCAAGCTTTGCACTCTTGTAGTCCTCTCTAAGCTGGATAAACCTGAATTTACAGTCAATTCAAAAGTTTACCATCTCATAAAGGGAATATGGGTACAGGAGGAGACAGTCGCCAACTAAGAAAAGAATAGATAATTTATAGACATCAAAGGTGTGATGTCATTGTCATTCTTCTTCTTCCCCCTAACACATTACTGATACAAGTTATGTACCTAAAAACCCTAACTGCAGTATGTGATTCCTTCCTGAAGCATTCAGCTATGGACTATAATTGTAGTTGAACGTGAGTAAATCAACCCATGATTTTTCCTAAAGTTGTATTGTTCACAAATTAACAGTTGATATAAGTTAGCGTCAGATTTTCTATAATGCATTTTAATTAGTGGAAAAACTGTGCCATAGAAATGAAGTCATTATGTTCTACAAAAATTCTGCAGTCAGTGCCCATTTTGGGTTTTAATATATAAAATATCGCCAATTTTACATTTACCTCTGTGCATCTTTCCGAATACTTGGGGTACCCTCAAACAGGGTGGAGAGACAAAGCTGCCTAATATAAACATAACTTATGTACCATTTAATCAAGTGTAACCTTGGCAATGTAGAACCAACTCACAGGCAGGGAGTTCAGGTATTTGATCTAAAAAGAAGCTAGCAATGTTTTCTTAAGTGTCACCTTCAACCTCCAAGTCACCACACCCCACAGCACGTAGGTCTCTAGCAAGTTCCTGCGTTTTCTCATACGCCACTGCTAGCACTCTAAGATACTGAAGCATCAGGAAAACACAACTGGGGTCAAAATCCAACGTTAACATAATTGATGTAGGTATTAAAGAACAAATGCAGCCTCAGTAATCAACTCACTAACAGAAGTCCGCCTTCTTACATAGGAGGTGGATTAACAAGAGATGGTTTCTGCAACAGTTTGTCAAGAAGTGTAGTAACTCGCTGCACGAAAACCACAAGAGGAAACTCGTCATTATTGTAACATTACCAAAAAATATGATCCTAGTATCTTTACTTCATTTGAATGCGTTGCCACTAAACACATACAGAACAGAAAAGAGAATAAGTGAGTTGAAGATCAGATACCTGAGCCAAAATTGACATAACATCATTTGCAGAAGGGAATACAGCCATTATTGTGGCTGCTTCTTTACGAACACTGTCTGTAGATCAATCATTACAAGTACATTAAATTCATTGAGTCCTAACACCCTTTCATTGAGATAAATTGCAAGCCTTCACACCTGTGATTTCTTTGTACAACAAAGAAAGCTTACATGCAACATTGCTAGGACTAGGTAATGTACCCTGGTCACCAAGAACCAATCTAGTGTCTGCATTCATGACCTCCACGTCAATAAACATTGGACATGTTGCCACATAATGTTGCATAGCACTTGTTCCCCTACTAAAGTGCATTGTAAAAGGAAAAAAACAAGAAGGTAAGAAGGTGTACAAATTACCAAGATTTCTTTATCGTCTAACCAGTTTCATCCTTAAACTAGATGGGGTATAACTCAAAATGATCTGCTTATAATGATGGATGTATCAAAAGCGCTTGATCCTATCCGAAGAAAATTGCAGAGAAGTAACACAAAAAGATGTAGGTAATCCCCTCATTCACAAAAAAAATAATAATAATAATAATAAATGAAAAATAAAAAAATTAAGAAGTTCCACGGCCAAAGATACATAGGCCTGATCACGGTTCGGTTCGGTTCGGTTTGGGGATAAATCCCAAGCCGAACCGGTCCCCACGGATTGGTTAAAACTGAAACCGAACCGATCCGTGGGGGTATTCAATCCGAACCAAACCGATCCGTGAGTTATCGGATCGGATCGGTTCCCCGAATTGGGCCTTTTCAAACAGCCCATTCAATTATGGCCTAGATCGGATCAGTTCCCCAGATTGGGCTGATTGGGCTTTTCAAACAGCCCATTCAATTTATAGCCCATTATCAAAATTTATTTATTCAATCTGCAACAAGATTTATAACAACCCATTCAATTATAACAATTATAACAGCCCATTTATTAAAACAATTATAACAGCCCATTCAATTATAACAATTATAACAGCAATACTATTGGTGCCATACCTGTGTATTTAAATAAAAAATATATTTGCTGCAATAGATTTATGTAACAGCACTAAAATTTCAAAATATATTTGGCACACATAAAATTATAAATACCACCACAAACTTAAATTACCTAATAACAAAAAAAAAAATTCTAAATCATCCGGAAGTGAAAATTATATTACAGTACCAAATATAAATTATCCAAATAGAACAAAACAAAATACTTAAATAGTAGCCCAGTAGCTCATTAGCATTAGATAAAAAAAAATAAAAAATAAAAAATAAAAAAAAAAATCATCAAACAACATTCTTGACTAGCAGCAAAACAAGTCTGAAAATGGTAGCATATCAAGTCTGAAAATGGCAGCAAGCAAGGCTAGCTCTCAATCTGAATCTGAAACTGTAGTCACATTTACAAAATAACATAATTTAATTAAAAATCCACCATATGATATTTATTTATAAATTGAATAAAAATGTAACAAATTGTTAACACTTACCAGAGTCGTATTGTTCAAGTTCGTCCAACTTTTCTTCAACATCAATTGGTATTGGTGAAGCCCGTAACCAATCTTGTGTACAAATTAAACATTGCACAAGCTTTGGAGTTAAAGAACTACGGAATTGATCAAGCACACGACCTCCAGTGCTAAAACTAGACTTCGAAGCAACAGTAGAGACTGGAACAGCTAGAATATCTCTTGCAATTTCAGAAAGTATTTTATACCTACTTCCGTTCACCTTCCACCAATTCAAGATGTCAAATTTTGGAACAACATCTTCACAAGCTTCCTCCAAATATTTTTCCACTTCCGACTTGGGAGTAAAACTTTCTTTTTGTATCTTGCGCTTCATGTACAAAGAGGAAAAATCATCTTCTACATTTCCATCATCAACTCCCACCTCATTTGCAATATTACTTGTTCCACTAGAGCTTGATGTAAATGCATGAAACTTTGCATATTCACTAAAAATGCGGTTGAATGTATCCATTACCTTCTTCCTAAGGTTTTCAACCATTTCAAGAGAATAAAGTTGGGAATAGCAAAATTCCACAAATTCCAATTTATAACAAGGATCCAACACAACTGCAAGCACCACCAACATGTTCACTTTTTCAATGCTTCCCCAATATTTGTCAAATTTAATTTTCATTTTTGATGCCATATTACTTAACCAAATATCGGGACTCTTTGACCACGTATTTAACGACTTTTCAATTCCCAACACTTCATGAAAATATCTATTGGAAGTAACATACAAAGATCCGGAAAGCTTGTTAGTGGCGTCATAAAAAAATTTTAAAAAAACAATCAAAACTCAAGCATATTCCCAATCAGTACTAGAAGGAGCTTTATTATTAACTTCCAGTAGGAATTGAACATCATCATCTTCTAACCTTTCAAAAGCTTTTTGAAACTTTACGGCCACCTCTAACATAAGGTATGTGGAATTCTGTAACGACCCACTCCACCACATGGTATGATATTGTCCGCTTTGGGCCTGAGCCCGCACGGTTTTGCTCTTGGGCTTCACCCCAAAAGGCCTCATACCAATTGGAGATGACACACTTACATATAAGCACTTCACCTTTCCTCTACCCAGGTGATGTGGGACTGTACACCCGTAGCTCGCCAATGTGGTAGCCTGACAGCGTCTCTCGCACCCGCCCACGGCACACCCGCCCACAAGGTCATCACAATCCAACCCCCTTGGAGGCCCGACGTCCCCATCAGCACACTTCCCGTTGGGTCAGGCTCTGATACCAACCCCCTTGGAGGCCCGACGTCCCCATCAGCACACTTCCCGTTGGGTCAGGCTCTGATACCATTTGTTTTTCAGTTAAATTAAATTTATTGTGATGACCTTGTGGGCGGGTGTGCCGTGGGCGGGTGCGAGAGACACTGTCAGGCTACCACACTGGCGAGCTACGGGTGCACAGTCCCACATCGCCTGGGTAGAGGAAAGGTGAAGTACTTATATGTAAGTGTGTCACCTCCAATTGGTATGAAGCCTTTTGAGGTAAAGCTCAAGAGCAAATCCGTGCGGGCTCAGGCCCAAAGCGGACAATATCATACCATGTGGTGGAGTAGGTCGTTACAAATTCCATCTAGTTGAAACATCTAGGCACAAATGTGACTTAAATGTTATATTCTCCCTCTTCACACATGCTTGAAAACGCTCTCCCCGTTGTGGAGAACTCCTAAACATACTTCACAGCCTCACAATTCAAACTATTGAACCATTTACATCACTCAAACCATCTTTCACAATCAAATTCAATATATGTGCACAGCACCTCATATGAAAACATTCACCACCTAAAAGGAAAGAGCCAACATTCCTAGCAAGCTTCTTTTCTTTTAAATATGCAACCGCAAGATCATTTGAACTAGCATTATTTAACCGTGAGTGTACACAATTTGTCTATACCCCAATCAAGCAAACAAGTCTCAACTGCACGACCAATTTCCTTACCCTTGTGACTAGGTATTATACAAAAATTCAGAATTCTTTTGTGTAAGGTCCAATTCTTATCAATGAAATGAGCCGTGAGACACATATAAGAAAGATTTTGAATTGACGTCCATATATCAGTGGTGAAACAAATTCTTTGATTGAGTTGATTCACTAAGGTTTTCAACCTCTTCTTTTCTATAGCATACAATTTCAAACAGTCCCTAACCACAGTAAAACGTGACAACAATTTGAATTTTGGCTGCAAGACACTAAGCAAATAACGAAAACCTTCACGCTCAACAAACTTGAAAGGTAATTCATCAATGATAATCATTTTAGTAAGTGCTTGTCTACACAACTCCTGATCAAATTTCCAAGAAACCTTAACACCCTCTCCTTCAGTAGTTGACTGAAACGAAATGAGTTTTTGTTTCCTGTCAACATTAAATGGATATTGTTGGCATCTACTTATGTGGTTCCTCAATGTACTTGTCCCATTTCCACTAGACCATGAATAAGATGCACTACAATAGTTGCATTTCACATTACATTTTGACTTAGTACAGTTACAGATATGAAACGTTTTTTGGTAGGACATACCTGCGTATTTAAATCATCATCATTGGTGCCAGCAGCAACTTCAGGCCTTGGAACATTAGTATCTTCTCTGGTTGTCATCTGCCAGGAAAAGAAATTGTTACAAAAAATTAGTGGAAGATTGCCATAAAGTAATTATAATCTACTGATGAAACAGAAGAAAAAACAATGTATTGCAACCCAGTTTTGAAAATCAATCATCTGATGAAACAGAAGAAAAAACAAAACAGAACAGGAAGAAATTAAATTTGCAACCCAATTCACATACAATACCTTGAAAAAAAATTGAAATAATATCAGTGTCAACTAAACCATTTACCTAACCAAAAATAAATGTGAACAAATATATAAATTAGTGAGATAATTAAAAGATTTCATTTACATATAAACAAAAGGAAGAAAAAGCTCAACGAGCATACAAGAAGAAATTGTGATATTACAAATTACGAAATAAAGAACCTCCAGAACTAAAATGTTATTGCTTCCACAAACAGGAAAGAATCACTCGTTAATTATAAATGCAATTAATATAAAAAATGAAAAACTAACGTGTTAGAAGTCAAAAGATCTACAATTTTATCTATAATTTTAAAAAGTTTAATTCCCAAGAACAGATGCAGAATATTGGAGAAGACGAACAGAAAGAACGCATCAAAGCAACTTTAACCTCTCGTTTGATTGCACATATAAGTTAAAGAATGAAACTTAAATTTTCCCTTTTTAAAACATTTTCTCAGCAACCAAACACTCCATATAAACAAAAAACTGAAAAAGAAGGAAGAAAGATCAAGCATAAAAAATTAGAAATATGCATTTATACATATATATGTAGATAAAATCATAAAATTAAGTAGATCCATGTAAAAACTATTCAGAGAAGAGGAGAATAAGTAGATTCGTTCAACAATCTTGTGAACTCACCGGAAAAGAGGTAGATCCAGTCGAAGAGGTCGCCGTTTCTTCGATACACTGACGTCGTCGTTGCTTCGAATCAGATGAACGATGGTTGAAACTGGAAAGGTGTAGGATTGAGAGACGAGAAATTGGGAGGCGAGAGATTGGGAATTTGGGAGAGGCGAAGAGTGTCACAGAGACACAGACTCACAGTCACAGAGGCGAGAGATTGGGAGAGGCGAAGAGGGTGAAGAGAAGAGGCTGACTGGCTGAGTTAGTGAGGGAGGCACAACTTGAAATGTCGTAATGAAGAGACGAGGCTGAGACACTAAGTTAGGGTTAGGTTAACATTAAAAAATAATGAATAAAGAAAAAAAAAAAACGATATATCATTATATTCATATATTGTATATATATATAATATATTAATATATTATTTAGTAACGGTTAACGGTTCGGTTTTCCTAACGGTTCGGATTGTTAACGGTTCGGTTCGGATCGGATTTCTCATGGTCCAATCCGTTAACCGAACCGCGGACACCGGATTGCAGATTTTTCTACCATTGAATAGATGCAAAAGACATAGTTGGAGACTCCATTCATCTAACTCTGAGCCAATATGTAGCAGAAGCGGCCTTGAACAAGGCCAATTTTATCATTTAAATGTAAGAAATTCTAAGGTGAAATGCCTTGAGCATAAATCTGGAGCGCAAATAGCACTTTCCTAAAAATATCCATATTAGTTATGAATATATGTGTTCATCAAGCTCCATTTTTGTCTTGCCACACATCCATCTCAAAATTCTCATTTCTGTCACATCCATCACTAAAGAAGAAAATAACAATAAATGTGCATAGATTGAACTTTTTTCTTCAAGTCAAACACAAATGACTCAATTGTCAATGAAACACGAACTCAGCCATGTATCATCTTTTACAGCAGTTTCTAACCAAAATGAGCAGGCTGGATCTCATCAACAAGCAAGTCCCACCTAAAAACTTTACGTGGTGAAAAGTTACAATGAATAAAGAATTATAGACTATGTAGTACTACTTCATTAGAGTGGATGGTTAAAAACTTGTAAAATAGTTGCAGGCAAACTCGGTATAAAAAAAAAAGTCCAGAAGCATTTGATTACATTGATATCAGAACAAAATCGTCTTCTCAACGACGACGTAGATATAGATCTGGACATTAATACCAACAAGTGTCAACTAAGAGCTACTAATCCCATCAGCCAATGTGTGCATCTGAGAAATGCATGTTCATAGTTTCTTTGCCAGGCACTTGCCAAGCCCCTGGCTGGCACTAGTCAACTCCCACGTAAGCTCTTTGTTTCACTGACTGACTTGTTAATACACCAACCAAAGAAACAAGTGCACAAATCAACCCTGTACAAATGTATTAATTCACATTAACTTTTAGTCTTTTACAAGCTCGAGATTTAGCTTTCTTAAATTTGGGGATCTTTGTGGTTTAAATGCTTAAAAGAGTTTTAAGGCCTAAACAGTTATGGTGTATTTAGGGTTTTAATAAATTTTCGGTTGCATTCAAATTTTAGAGCTAGGGGTTTAAAGGGTTCTATATTTAGGCTTTGAATTCTTTAGTTTTTTAAACTTCAAGTTTGGGGTTTCTTTTCCTTCTCCAAAAATTTTTGGTTTCGCATATGGGTTTTTCTATAGTTTATGACAAAGTGTAAGATAATATAATTTGAGGGTAGTTTTTCAAGTGAAATGAAAAACATATTAACAATGCATTAATGCACTTTCAGATATTTTTATAGAATTTTGCATCCATTAGGAGTCTATTAAATTACCGATTCCCTTCAGGGTACATACCTAAAAAAAGTTACTACCATTCCAAATACAGCCCCAAGACATTAAGTTAGTCAAAAATAGCTTGTTTCCTGGAAAAGAACATTGCACATATAAAAGAAGTTACCTGTTAAATTTCTACAAATCAAATAATTTCAAGTGATCCAAATAATAAGATTTTAAAAATAAATAAAAAAACGTGATACTTTATATTTCTCAGGCACTCAGCACATGACATGATTCGTATGCCAATATATGTGACTCAAAGTTGACAACATTAAATACATCTACAATCAAGGCCTGGTATATTTTTCCTTTTTTAACATACTTTTTGGTTCCCTAGCATGAAATTTGCACAACATGGTAAATCTAATTAACCAAAGGGTAACATAAAGTTCATATAAATTACCTGAGATAAAATTTTAGCGCACTCTGCCATAGTAGACAATTCTCTCCTCTGTGAGGCTGCATCAAATCGAGCCAACAATCTATTCTCCAATTCTACACAAATGATAAAAGGCAAAAAAGCTCAACAATATGTCAACTTACAATAAATATCATTAAAAAAAAAAACAAGGGACTTAAGGAGGCTACCCTTCCAAATCCTAAATGTTTGCACAGATGATTTTACAAGAATAGGGTCATCCACACCCTTGAAGCCTTCAAGCCTCACTCCACACCCTTGAAGCCTCACTCCACACTCCTTGTGTGACTTGCTAGGGCCAGAAACGAGCCCAACACTTCCTCTTCCTTTCTATAATTAAGCATAGCCAAATGCTATTAGAATCATGCGGATGGAGAAAGTGATATATATATATATATATATATAGTGATGATTTTTATGATTATGCCCTGCTGCATAAATGC